CATGTGTGCAGCCGCAGCGGGCGCTTGCCACCCTGCCCACGGGGAGGAAACGGCGGCGGGGTCATGGCCTGCGTGGGGCACCCACACCCATCGCCCACCAGCATCTGGCACAGCTCCGCCCTGAAACAACGCTGCCCCGCTCCTGGCATAGCCTCAGGGCGCAGCGAAGGGACAGCGGGGACTCTGGACCCCTGGCGCAGTCGAAGGAGCCAGAGGGGTCTCCCATGGGGGCCACGACCACCGGCCTCAGGTACAGCAGAGAAGAGCTCGGTGCCAACCACTCGATGGCAAATGGCTGGGGGAACCCTAGCTCAGGGACAGTTGCCCAGGCCGGGCTGGCGAGGGGTCTGCTTGGGGGTACGGCACCCAAGGGAGCGGGGTGACCCCAGGACACCCAGTGCCATTTCAGCCCCTCGCTGTACTGGGGGCCAGGTTGGCACCCCTGCCCTGCAGAGCCACGTGTCTCACTGCAGTGGCCAGGTGGGCTGTGGCAGGGGCTGTTAAGGTCTTGCCACTGCCCGGGCTGCCCTCCCGGCCTGTGGCCCTGTGCTGGCCGTCACGCCGGGGAGCACGCAGTTGTCACCCCTTGAGAAGGCTGGGGATGGCATTGAGGGAACGGTGGCAGCACCCCCAGGGTATCCCTAGGGCGAGTGCAGGGCTACCGACTGTGGGAGCCTGTGGTACCACACCACCGCAGCGCCCTCACCCCACCGGGACCGGGAGCCGCTACCCGGGAATCCCCGGCCCCCACCCCGTAGGGCTCCCGCGGCTACCCCCGGGGATGCCCTGGCCCTCTCGCCGCCGGCATCCCGTCGCCGTTCCCCAGGGGCGGGAGGGGCGATTCCCGTGGCAGTACCGGTGGCCAGCCGGTAGCCCCCGAGCGGCGGCGGGTCCCGGGGCGGGGGGTGCGGGGGGCCCGCGGATCCCTCCCCGAGCCGAGGGCGGGGCGGAGCGGCGGGGCGGGAGCCCGGGCGGGCGGGGCGGCGCGCGGCGGCGGCGCGGGAGCGCTCACCGGAGACAAAGGCAGCGCCGGGAGGCGGCGGCGGCGCCGCGCACCGGGCGCGCACCGGGCCCCCTCCCCCGCCGCTCTATGGAGCCGCCGCCCGCCGCCTGAGCCACGTGCGCCGCCGCCGCCGGTAACGGGAGCCGCGGAGGGAGCGGGCGCGGCGCCTCCGCCTGTTGCGCGGTGCGGGGGCAGCGGGGCCGGGGCGGGGGCGCGCGGGGCCGCCGCCACCGGGGGCCGCGGCAGGGGCGCGCGGCGCGTACCGGGGAGCGCATCTCCGGTCCGGCCCCAGCGGGCGCGCTCCCCGGGGGAGGAGGAGGAGAATGAGGAGGATGAGGAAGGGGTGCCGCGCCCGGCACGGGGAGCGGGGAGGTTCCTCGCCGGGGTGTCACCCTCTCCGCGGAGGCACCGGGCAGGGATGCGACGCGGGCAACGGGCCCCAGGCCGCAGCCGGGGCCAGTGGGGCGGCCCGGGGCTACCGGCGGGGCCCGGCTCGGCGACCGCTCCGCTCTCCGCCCGGCGTGAGTGTCTCCAGCCGGGCCCCGCTCCTCCCCCAGCCCGCACGTCCTCGGCAGCCCCGCTCCCCCCGCACGCCCCAGCTGCGAACGCCCCCGGTCCGCGGCGCCGCCAGCCCGCCCTGCACCGCTTCCCGGTGTTCCCCCGGCCGTCATCCCGGGGCTCGACCCGCGGCCCTTTCCGCACGGTACCTCTCCTCCCCGGGGATGCCCAGGCTGCCGGCGCGGAGCCTGTTGCCGCCGATGTGGCGAGCGCTGCCCGAACCGAGCTGGCCTCAGCCAGAGCACCCCCTCCCCAAAGACCCACATCCCGGCGCTGCCTCAGCCCACGCGTTTGTCTGCGTGATGGAGCAGCCCCCGCTGCCCGCCGGAGCGTGGTCAGGGCTCCCGGCTCCCTCCTTCCCCATCGCTTCTTCCTTCCGCCGGGCTCGGCCCTCCGGCCCTGCCGGCACCCTCAGCACCCGGTGGCCCTGCCGTGGTCCCTTGCCAGTAGCGTGGCCCTGCACCGCAGGGTGATGGAGCACCCCGCGCCCCTTCGCCCTTCTCCGAGGGAGCGATGGTGTCGCCGTGATCACCGGCTGCCATCGCTCCAGGCTTACCCTCCTCCCTGCTGCCGAGCCCGTTTTCTCTCAAACCACGATAATGAGAATCCTGACGGGTGCTTACGTGCCTGCCTTTGAGCACCCATGGGTGCTGCTCGCCGCTCACTGAGGAGCAGACCTGCCCCTGGCACACACCGTTTACATTTGGTGCTTGCCTGGATGTGACCGAGTTGTCACCCTGCCTAAAGGGCAAAGGTGATGGTTCCCATCACCGCCACCCCCGGCCCTGCATTGCTGTGTTGGGGTGCCACCATCCCCAGTGGCTGTGAGGCCAGCGATGGCTTCGGTGCACGTGCTCCTGTGAGCGCCACGTGCCGCAGGCAACCGGCACCTCTGCTTGTCCCTCCTTCTCTCCGGGTCACTCTCCTGTGTGGTAGCACAGGGATGAACTGCCTGGGCTCAGCAGCCAATTTAGGGTGCACTGGATGGGCAAAAGAAGGAGATCCCACTGGGCACCCCATGATCTTGAAGATGATGCTATGGGACCACAGCATCTGTGTCCACCCCAAGGTGCTCAGCAGTACCATGGGCAATTCTAGGGGGGCTGCGCAGGTCTGCATCCATGGGGGAGATGGTGGGGGGTGCACAGGGTGCCAGGCACGGTTCCCCCTGGCTGCGGGCGCTGCGGCGCATGTGGAGCGAGTCACCATGGGAACAGGGCGTCCACGTTTCCGTGTCGCTCACGCTCGCGTCTGTCTCGTTGCAGGGCCCCCACCCCGGCGGTACCCCCCCAGCGATGGGCAGCGGGACCCCGGCAGCCCCGTCCCCCCGCCGCCCGCCCCGCCGGCCCCCCGCCCCACCGCCCGCCCGGCGCACCCAGGCCTGACCCACCCGCTCCAGCCCCCCCCAGCTCCATGGCGAGGACGGACCCCTGACGGCAGGCGCGCCCGCGGGCCAGAGGAGACGGCGCCGGGCACGGCCCGGGGAGATGCCCTCGGCGGCCCTGACAGCATCGGGTCCTCCCTGACCCTGCCGCCGCCCTGAGCATCCCGTCCCCCATCCCGAGGGCAGGGAGAGGCGGGGGTCTCCCCCCCGGGGCCGGCTGCCAAGATGGTGATGTCCCAGGGCACCTACACCTTCCTCACCTGCTTCGCGGGCTTCTGGCTCATCTGGGGCCTCATCGTGCTGCTGTGCTGCTTCTGCAGCTACCTGCGGCGGCGGGTGAAGCGGCAGCAGGAGGAGCGGCTGCGGGAGCAGAGCCTGCGCGCACTGGAGATGGAGCCACTGCACTACGAGGGTTACGGGGGCAGCCCCCCCGGCATCGCCATTCCCCACCGCCTCCGCCTCGAGCCCCACCATCACCATCATCACCCCCACCACATCCCACCCCCCCGACCCTGGAGCTGCCGGCACGGTAAGGAGCAGGGAGGGGCTCTCGCATCCCCGCAGCACGTGCCTCCCTCTGTTTTGGGGGGGATACGACGTGAGAGCCGGGGCGCAGCGCTGACGGCAGCAGGGGTCCGGGGGGGGCTTTGCCTTGCAGAATCGGACCTGTCAAAGCCACCGTGCTATGAGGAGGCGCTGCTGATGGCGGAGCCCCCCCCGCCGTACAGCGAGGTGCTGATGGACACGCGGGGGCTCTACCGCAAAATCAACGCCCCTTTCCTGAGCCATGAGCGGCTGGAGAAGCAGGAGCAGCCTCCCAGCTACAAACCCCTTTTCCTGGACGCCGGCTACGGTTCAGCGCTGCACCTGCCCCGCTCAGCCAGCCCCGGCCCTGCCTGCCCGGACCTCTATCTGCAGCAAGAGTGCTCCCCACGCATGTTTCCCAGCTGGACGGACTCGGAGCTCAGCAGCAGGGACACCTACGAGACGGGACCCTGGCACCTCCCGGTCTCCATGCCCCTCTTCGGCAGGACTACCGCTGTCTAACAGCGGCTGCGGGGGACGCCCGGACCTTGCCATGCACCTGGGGGGGTGGGGGACTTCGGTTGCTCGTGTCACCCCAGGGACACCCGCCCCGGCGCGGGCCATCGCCGCCGGCGCGGAAGGGGCTGGTTCCCCGTCTGGCCCCCGCCGGCCTCCCCATGGCCGGGGGCGCTGGGGACCCGGACTTTGCTCTGTTTCTTAAATTTTTTGTTTGTTACAGTTTGAGAATAAAAGTTTGTGGCTCGGGTTTGCCTCCTGGCGGGCTGGCATGGTGGGACCGCCCCCTCCCCAAGGCAGCCGTAGCCCCCCCCACACTCCCAGCCCTCCCTGCCGCCCCAGCAGGCTGCAGCCCCCGTGGGAGACGCTTTATTTATTAACAGACATGAGCACACCGCCGGTACAGAACTTGTGCTTTCCAAAAAGTTTCCGGGGGGAATGGGGGGAGAGGGGCCAAGCAGGGGCCAAGCAGGGGAGGACGGGGCTCCCAGCAAAAGAGGAGTGGGGAAGGGGTAAAAGCCCCCACACCAGCTCCCTGCCGGGGTTTGGGGGGGGACGCCGCTGGCCGCAGCCTTGCCTCGGTCGGGTCACTTTATTGCCATATTCATTTATTATTATTATTATTATTTCTTTTTTTTTTCTTTGAACTCGTGCAAAGTACTGAGGGGGGCTCCCGGGGGGGGGGGCACGAAGAGAACGAGGACCCTGTCCCACAGCCGGGCAGGGGATGCGAGCGTGTGTCGTCCCCCCCAAAGGGGCGCTGGGGCATCGGGGGTGGGGGGGCTGCTAAGGGAGGGCTGGGGGGCTGACACGGCTCCTACCGACAACTTAAAAAAGAAAGGAGGAGAAGGGGGGGCTGTAAAAGGTGCCCCGGGGCAGGGTTGCAGCGGGGCGGCCGCCACACGGAGGCCTCATCCTGCGGGGCCCCAGAGGGGTGAGGGGGGCCCGGCCCCCGGCTGCAGCCCCCTCGTGCCCCGCGCCGGCCGGGGCGGGCTGCCTGTGCCGGCAGCGGGGCCTGGCCTTACAGGGCCCCCCCAAAGCTCTCCTCTTCCTCGGGCAGAGGGTCTGCATCCCAGCATGTGATGTCGATCTCTGGAGGACAGGGAGAGGGGTCAGGATGGCTTGGGATGGCCCAGAAAGGGACAGACTCCCTCTCCTCACTGTCCTCACTCACCTGGGGGCTTGTTGTAGAAGACAGGCTGGGGGGCTTTGGCCGACAGCTCCTCGGGGGGGAGCACCTCCTCCTCCTGGGACTGGCTGAAGTAGCCCTCGCTGGCCTGGGGGGTGGGGGCAGGTTGTCAGGACCGCCCCCAGCCACCCATCACCCCCTGACCTCTCCCCACAGTGATGCTCACCTGCTCCCCACGGCCCGGTGTCCCATCCTTGGGGGCCATCTCCCCATTGGTGATGGGGGGTGTCTCTCGGCCCGGGGTGTCTTCCTGGGGCGTGTGCTGGCAGCCCAGATCCTGGGACTGGGGTTCCCCCTCGCCAGCTGCCTCCTCCTCATCCTCATCCTCCTGCTCCGCGTCGCAGAAGGTGGCAGGGGGCTCTGGCAGCTCATCCAGGCTCAGCAGGGCCCCCTCCTCGGGCAGCATGGCCGGGGGTGTCTCGGGGACCGGGGCAGCAGGCAGGGGCCAGGCAGCTGGGGGAGCCACCCCGTCGCTCTGCCACAGGTCGATGAGGCTCTCGGGGTTGGGGGCTTCCCCAGTTTGGGGCTCGTCAGCCACGGGTGGCAGGGAGGGCTCGGTGGGCTCCAGGGTCACCAGGTCCCCCAGGGCATCACCCCCCGCTGTCCACACTGGCCTGGGACTGGGCTCGTCCCCAGGGGGCTCGATGGCCTTGTCCTCTGGCCCCGGGAAGGGCCAGTGCTGCTCGGGCGTGGCTGGCCCGGGCTCCTGCGCGCTGGGGCTGGGGGACTCTGCAAGGAGGGGACAGCAGTCAGTGGGGACAGACAAGCTCATCCAGGGCTAGGGGTCACCCGGGGACAGGGATGCAGCTCAGGGGAATTTGGAGTCCTTTGGACTGGGCACAGTATGGGGACTACTGCAACGATCGGTGGAGGTGACTGGGCAGGGAGGGGATTGTATCATGCATCAGGGAGTGAGGGGACATGGGCAGGGACAAGGTCATCCCTTGGGGAGTGGCAGAAAGGCAGAAAGGGCTGTGGAGGGAACGGGAGAGGTGCCCTGAGAGGATGCAGAAGGAAAATCTGGGATGCACCAGAGGATGCCAAGAGGTCAGTGGGGACGCAGCAGGGACACCTGGTGACAGCAGGCTGGGGTGTCCTGGGGATGCAGTGGGGCAGAGGGGATGCACAGAGGGATACAGCAGCCCTGGAAAGGATGTACAGCAGGACGGCGCAGACTGTGCAGCATCGCACTGGGGGACCCAACAGAGACAGCAGGGCTGCACCGGGGGATGCAGCAGGGAGGGTCGGCATGTACAGAGCAGGGGGAATGCACTGGAGATGGGGGGGACGCATGGCGTGGGGTGCAGCAGAGACAGCAGGGATGCACTGGCATTAGAAAATGCACTGGAGGCAGCGGGAATGCAGCAATGACGGTGGGGCTGCACTGGGGGATGCAGCAGAGACGGCGGGGATGCAGCGGCACGGAGCAGCAGGTACGGCGGGGATGCGCTGGGGGACACAGCAGAGATATGGGGATATGCCGAGGGATGCAGAGGGGACAGCATGGATGCACTGAGCCATGCAAGGGCAGCCAGGGGGCTACAGCAGAGCCGAGGGGGCTGCAGTGGGAATGCACTGTGGGACACAGCAGATCCAGATGGGATATGCTGAGGGATGCGGACGGGACAGCATGGATGCACTGAGGCATGCAAGCGTGGTTTGTAGGGCTGCAGCAGAGCCGAAGGGGCTGCAGTGGGGATGCACCCGGCAGCCCTGGGCAGGGAGAAGCAGCGCCAGCCCTGCGCCCACCTTTGGGCGTTGCCGGCGTCTGGTCAGCGGGCGCGCGGGTGCCCGGTTCGCCCAGCGGCGTGACGGCCGGGCTGGACTCGCAGGGGCTGCAGCCCGCTGCCGAGGCCTTGCGGAAGGCGTCCGACTGGCTGCCTGCAGACAAGGGAGATGGGGTGGCGTGGGGGGGATGCCCACATTGAGGGAGGGAACCAGCACCCCAGCATTGCTCCTGCCCCACACCAACCCAGCTGTGAGCTGCCAAGTGCACATCACTGTGTACCTGCCACCACGTCGTCCCCTCCGGGGTGGTGGGGTGGAGGCTTCCATGGGTGCAGCAATCACCACGTCCCTTCCAGGTGTCCCCGCCACCCCCATGAGTTTCAGCCCCCACATCTGGTGGGCAAGGGGACAGGCAGCCCCATACCTGCCTTGGTGCACACTGGCTCTGCCTGCATGTCACTCAGCTGTGCCTTGGCACAGCCTTTGTGGGCACAGCTCTGAGCCCTGTCAACTGTGTCTGTGGGGGCATAGCCCTACATGGCCCCTGGAACCATATGGCCCCTTCTGCCCCATTGGCACAGCCCCACACATTCCTGGGCATGGCATTTTCCACTCCACACTGTCTCGTGGACAGTCTTGCAGTCTTGTCCATGCAGCTGTTCCATTCCCTTCTGCCCCATTGGTATAGCCTCACATGATTCTGGGCACAGCCTTTTCCACACTGCCTAATGCTGCCCCATGGGCACAGACCTGTGTGATCCAGGGCAGAGATGTCCCTTTCCCTTCTGCCCCATCAGCACATGATTCTGGCACAGCCTTTTCCACGCTGCCCAACCATGCCCCACAGGCACAGTCCTGCATATTCCAGGGCACAGTTGTCCTATCCACTGCCCCACGGGCAGTCTATTCCATCCCACTGCGGACCATCACCTCCCCAGGCACAGCTCTACCCCGTCCCCATCTGACCCATGGGCACAGTCTGTCCTATGTCCCCCCCAGGGGCACAGGGACCAGCATGGGGCCATCCCCAGCAGGTCCCTGCCTGAGTGCCCATCCCCCTCAGGGTGCCTGTCCCCCTCGGGGTGCCCGTGCTGCCTCCGCTGCTGGTCCGGTGTGCCGTGGGGCTGGGTGGGCTGTGGGGCAGCTGCCCATGGCTTGACCCCCGGAGCTGCGCACCCAGGAGCTCCCAGCTACCTACATGGGAAGAAAGAGGAGAGATTTGGAGTGCGGTGGCAGGAGATATAGGGGAAGGGGGTCCGTGGGGGGGAGGAGGAGGAGGAGGAAGAAGAAGGTGGCCCACTGTCAGCTGTCTTTATGAAAGGACAGTGCAGACGACCTGTGAGAGAAAGACAGACGGACGGACGGAGAGAGAGAGAGATCAAAGAGATGGGTCAGTCAGTCCCTGCTCAGCGCAGTCATGGCGGGGCTGGAGCACCAGGGCACCGGGATGGGAGCACAGCAGGGTGGAAGGCAGCACCGTGGGAGAATGGCAGGACAAGAGGATGGAAAGGCAGCAGGACAGAAGGATGTGAGGCAGCACAGCCTGGCCAGGTGAGGAGAGGCCAGGATACGGCCGTGGGAACAACTATCTGCTCAGCCACAGCACAGCCCCACAGCGTGAATCCACGGCACAACCCACGGCATGGCCAGAACACAGAGCACACAGCACGACCCACGGCACAACCCCACAGCAGTGCCGCGAGGCACAGCACCACGGCACAACCCCACAGCACAGCCCATGGCATAGCCCATGGCACAACCCACGGCACACCACACAAGAATACACATCACAGTCTCCCTCCCAGTACAGCCCCACAGCACAGCCCCACAGCACAGCCCCCCAGCACAGCACCATGACGCAGCCCCATGGCTGGAGGCACCCACCAGGACAGACAGTCCTTCTCTAGATTCACAGAAAGAGTTCCAACACCGTGGGGCAGCCCAGCTTCCCCATGGGGCACTCCTTGCTAGCTGGCAGCACGCTGAGTGCCCCACATCTGCCTCACTCTCTCCTGTCCCTTTTTAGCTGCCACCATGGGATGTATTCCCAAGCCATCCCTGGACCTCTAGTTGCCCCACGCACTGACCATGCTGCCGACTTGGCTGCAAGCACAGTGCTATGACAGGTGAGTGGACAACACCCAGCAGAGAGCAAGATGAACCCCATTCTGCTGAAGACAACCTGACATCCAGCCCCTGACAAGCTGCCCCAGCAGCAGGGGCCACATGAGGTGCAGTGGCAGTGGCAGTGATGGTGACAGTGATGGTGGCACAGCAGAGCAGGATGTCCCCTGCCATCCTCATACCCTTGGCACCCAGAATCACAGTGCCAGTGATGGCAGAGGGTACACCTCCTCCCCACATTGCATCCCTGGTCTTTCCATACCCCACTGCAACCCGTTGAGCTGTGACACTGCACTCACCTGTGCCCTGGTCTCCTGGTGCCCACCCCTGTGCCCACAACCCCCCACAGCCCCTCACCTGTCCTGTGGCTGCCTGGTGAGACAGCATCACTGCTGCCCGATGCCACCCGCTCCTGCTGCTTGAAGAAGTCCCGGGGGTTGTCAGGCCGCTGAGCGATGATGGCAGCAGCCTCCTGTGGGGATGGGGGAGGCTGAGCCCCACCACCCTGGTGGCATGGGGCTGTGGGACCACCCTCTATGCATCCCACAGCTTCATTGCCATCTAGCTGTGGGCACTGCTGGATGGAGAGTGAGGACCAGCACTGGGCACGGCCATCACCACACTCACCTCCACCTCTGACTCCGATTTCCTAAACTGCTGCCTGTCGTCCTCCTCTTGCTGATCCCCCTGGGAAGAGACACAGCATCACCTCCCAGCCCCAGGCACCCAGCTGGGGAAAGCCTTTCCTTGGGGGTAATGCCAGTGGCAGCCCCAGCTCCGATTCTGGCCCCAGTCCTGGCACTTACAAAAATGGACTGCTCCTTCAGGCGCTGCCGGGCCTCCTCCGCCTCCAAGCTCTGCTGCTTCCTCCTGCAATGAGGGAACAGGAGAGGCACAGGGCATCAGCTCCTGCCCGTCTCTGCCCCAACCCCGCCCTGTGAGGGACACCCATGTGCCCACCCAGTCACTCACAGCACATATGCAGCCATCCCATACCCACTTCCCACCCGACCCCAACCATGCCTGTGCTCCTCGATCTGCTCCTCACGCTCCCTGTAGCGCCGTTCCCGCTCCTCCTGCTCCAGCCGCTCCTGCTCCATCCGCTCCTGCTCGAACCGCAGCCGGGCATCCAGAGCCTTTTTCCGCTCTTCCTCCTTACGCAATTCCTCCTCTTTCTGGTGGGGGGGGGGATGAATGAGGAGGCTGCCCATCAGCTGACCCCTCTCCCTGGGGACTACCAGCTGTCCCTCCATATCCCACCTTGGCCTGTTCCCAGAACTGCTCCCGGTTGAGTCGCTTCATCTCCACGGTGGCATCGGTTTTCTGGTAAGTGGTGCCCTGGGACAGAGGAGAGGCAGGGGGGGTGGAGGGGCTGGGATCAGCGAGGGGGTAAGCAGCACATGGGATGAGAGGCTGCGGTGGACAGGAGCCCTGGGCTGGGGGGACACCCCAGTCCTGCCACCATCGCCAGCGCTGCCATGGGGACATTACCACGGGCTCGGCATTCTCGTCCTCGCGCAGCCGCAGGCGGTGCAGCACCGGGCTGGAGACACGGGCCAGCCCGTTGGAGAGCCGCTGCCCGATGGCCCCTGGGTCAATGTCCTCCACGCTGCTGGCATTGACGATGACATCGACACCCTGGGGGGTGCAAGCAGCCATCAGGGTTCAGGATCAGTGTCACGACAACATCTTCCCCCTCCCCAGTGTCACTCACCTGGAAGAACTCAGCAATCTTGGCTACGTGGCTGGCACAGGCGCATTTGCGGGCGTCCGGCACGTCCTCGCCCACCTGTGGCATCCAGGGAGGGACTGAGCTGAGAGGGGCAGTAGGGTGACCCCCACTCCGCTGACCATAGCAGGGCAGCAGGACTGTGGGGCACCCACAGCCCCTGGCCACTGCCAGCTCCCTCACACCCTGCCATATCCCTGTGCACACAGCACAGCCCCCCTCAGCATGGCCCCCAGACTCACCCAGTTGACGAGGACATATTTGGGGAGCACAGCCTGGGGGTCCTTGACGCTGCAGAAGCCATACATCACCTTCTGAATCTCAAAGTGGCCGGAAAGCTCCAGCAAACCTCCACCTGGCACAGCACCGTCAGCCCACGTGCATCCAGCACCAGGAACAGGTGACAGGGAAAACACCGGCACAGGCGAGCCGGCAGAGGGGACAGAGGACCTTACCTCCTGATGCTGCCAGCTTCAGGTCATCAGAGCCATCCTCGTATGTGTAGAGGGCCCTGGGGAGACACCATGAGTGAGCCAAAGCCAGGAGGAGTGTGGGGCAGCCCCTACCCTCCCCATCCTGCTTACACTGAGGTCAGGGCATGTCCTTGGGTCTGGCTGTTTGTCCCGAAACTAGCACACAGCCACAATCCCTTGTCCATCAACAGCACCAAGAGCCAGACTGCCAGGCTGGCAGGCAGACAGGAATAGGCAGGGCCTATTCCCAATCCTTGGTGGTAGCTATGGGGAAGGGTCCCAAGTTTGGGGACAGAACAGTCACTTGGGCACAGGGACCCACTGACTGCTGTGCTGCAAGCCAACACAGTCTCACAGCAACTTGCTCGCCCATTCCTGTCCCCTCACGACCCTCCTGGCTACTGATCAGGTTTGGGGATGACCCTGTGCCCCAGTAAGGACCCAGGTCCACTCACGTGCCCGGCTGCGTGAGCCACCAGCCCAGCAGGCACCAGGCTGGGGGAGGACGCCGGAGCACCAGCAGCAGCAAATCAATGAGCCGCCAGAGTGTGATGGGGCCGTCATGGAGACTGTTCCTTGGAAACCATTCCCAGCTGATGGGAAACCCCCTGTCGCTCCCACCATGCCCTGGCCAGCCCCTCTGGGGGCTCCACGGGGACCCCCACCAGCCAGCACCTCCCCAGAGGCACAAAGCCAGCGATGGAGGGGGGACCACGCATGCCAAATTGGTCCAGGGCGGGTGGGCGAGGGGATGGATGTCGCTAGGCAACCAGCATCCTCCATCACCATGGCAACCCCCCCCATCCCAGCTGGGATGCAGCTCGCCCCGATGACGAGGTGATTAGTGGAGGGGAGCGGGGGAGGCAGGCAGGCAGTGGGGACCTGCGGGGCCTGGCAGGCACCCAAACCTGCCTGCCACCGTCACGCGCTGCACCCGGAAAGCCAGGGCCGCCCGTGCTGGATCCCCCACATCACTGCACCGCCGCGGGTGGGCGGCCCTGCCCATCAGCATTCGGCTGGTGGTGCCCGCACGGCGCTTCTCAGAGCCCCAAAATCCCCGCTGTGCCGAGCAAAGCCGTCCTCACTCAAGCCTGCAGCTTCAATCCACAGCCTCGGGAACAGGAATTGAGGGTCCCTATGGGCAGAACCACCCCCAAAACAGGGCCGTGGCTGGAGCTAAAAAGCAGGGGGAAGGCAGGCAGGTGCCTAAGAGGGAGAGGGCCTCCCTCTGCCTTCAGCACCCGCCGCCCCCCAAGCCCCTGGCAGGGAGCCGCAGATAATTGCACCAACAAGATTGACTTTAATCCGCACATCCCGATCCCGCTAATCGGCCGCCCCAGCCGGCGCCAGCTTCCAGGCCTGGAACAGCTGCAAAGTGCCGTCTGAGATGGCTGTGACAGGGAAGGGTGGCAAATGCAGCCCCTGATCCCCCAGGAATGGGGGAGGATGGCAGCAGTTTGGGGGAGCCCAGGGCAGTGAGTTGGAAGCTGGCACGGTGGTATACAGCTGGCAGCAGACAGGAGAAAAGAAGTAGGGCAGAGCCACAGCATCACTTCCTGGGGAGCCCTGTGGGTGCTGGGGGCACCCACTGCCTGCTTTTCTTCCCCAGAACCCCGCCATGCTGAGTGGTATGTGAGCACAAGGCTGCTGCCTGCACTCGGAGGTGCTACCAGGGCAGATGGGGCTTGATGTGGACACAGCTCAGCAGCACAGCCTCAATCCACGCCAGGATGGAGGTTTCCATTCCTGAAGACAGGGAAGCCATGCTGGGGCCAGTAGCATCCCCAAGGGTGCCCCCAGGGACCCACAGCCCAACAGCATCACCACAACCCCCGGCAGTGGGGACCAGCTGTGTCACAGCGGGTGCTGTCAGCATCACGCGTTGCTTACCCCGCTTCCATGGGCTTTAAACCCTCCACCCAATCCATACAGCCCTTTCCCACCCCCGGGTTCCAGGTATGTGGGTCACCCGTGGGTGGAGATGCCCTGTGCAGCCCGGGGGGGCTCCCTGCAGCCGGGGGGCTTCACTGAAGATCCCTCATCACCCCAACCGAAGAGATCTCAGCCCCGCTGCCCTCGCATGGCCCCGCTGCTCACCGAAGTCGGCAGAGCAGCATCCCCAGGTGCCAGAACGGGGCTCCCGCGGCAGCCCACCCCCCATGCCATGGCCAGAGAAGGGTCACATCGCCCCAGCCTCCCACCCCAGCCCCGGCACATGTGTTTCCAATGTGGCTGGGAGCTCCAGGGAGTCGGCGTGCTCAGAAAGCAGCACCAAATTCCTTTCCGATCGAGTAATGGGCCCCAGCAGCCTTCGCGGGGCCGGGCAGGGGGAGGGGATGCTCGGACCCTCCAGGACCGGGCTGAAGCACGGGGAATCCCAGACTAAACAGAGGGATCCCGGCCTAGCAAGAGCGTGGCATTCCCCGGTACCGGCCCAGGGCCAGGCTCTGGCACATTGTCCTCCCAGGCAGCTCCGTGGCTCAACCAGGCTGGGCCCTCCTCCCCGTGGGGCTGTCCACATCACCTTGCCCGATGCAGCCCCACCAGCATCACCCCTCATCCCGTACCCCCCCTCAGCGGGCCCTGCAGAGGGGATGCTGGTCCCACAGACAGGGACTCCGGTGACAATGGGATGGAGCGGCTGGGGAGGATGGAGCAGCTGGGGACGATGGAGCAAACTCAGCCCCACGGATGGGCATGGTAGGGGGTCACTGCCGGGTCGGGATCAGCGTTGGAGGTGCGTGGGGAGCCGCCACCGGCACTCGCCTTCCCGGGAACCGATTCTGCTGCTCTCAGCAGCTTTGGCAGGGACGGCTCCTTTGCAGCGGATGCCGGGAAGCGAGATGTACCCAGGGCTGACAGCTGCCGCCTGGCCGGCAATATACACGGCGCTTGCCCACAGCGCCCTTGGGCTGACAGCAGGACTGTGGGGCCCTCCGGAAGCCCCCGGGGGCTGGCGGGGACCCGGACCTGCCCAGGCCTACACAGCCCTGTCCTGAGAGCAGGGACCTGGTTAGAGACAGACGTCTGACCGCCTGGGTTGTGGGTGCAGCCCAGCTGGGAGGTGGGAGTCCCCGGATGGCTGGTGGGTGTATCCCGGAGGGGTGGTGGGTGCTCCTGGCTGGATGGTGGGCGCACATTATCCCCCCCACGTCCGCCCCCCACCAAAAGCATCATGCACAGCATGCACCCAGCAGCACCCCACACCATCCAGCGCTCCGGCTCTGCCCAGCGAGATGCGCCCCAGCGCGCCGGCAGCATTCCCACCCCGCACGCCAGAGGCACCCTGGAGGGCAGGGAGGGGATCGCGGGGCAGATGGCCCCAGGCAGCCTCCCGGCACCCGGCTGGGCTGGGAGATGCGAGTGGGCTGGCAGTGGGTGATGCTCCCTGCAGCGGGCCTGGATCCAGCCGGCCCCGACACCGGCTGCCCCGCACCGGGGTGCGGGCAGGGCGAGCAGCCGGGGGTCCCAGTGGAGAGAGCCACTCCCCTCCCCGACTCAGCAGCAATCCCAGCCCGGCGGAGCAATCTCGGGCCGACTCACCACGACCCCCCAGGGATGCCCAGGGATGTGGCAACCCAGGAGCTTGGGGGAATCTGAGGGTAGCGGGACCGGCGGGGGATGCTCGGTGCCCCCGCGGCCTCAGGCCTCGCTCTGGCGGGCAGCGGGACCGCCCGCTGCCGGGATACCGGTGGGGCCGGTCGGGAGCAGGACCGGTCGGGAGCGGGGCCAGTCTGGGGGCGCCCCGATCTCCTCCCCATCCCCCGTCCCCCGAGCGCCCCTGCCCGCGGCTCCTGCTCCAGACAATGGCGAGGAACCGGTGCCGGGCCCAGCACCGGGAAGCCCCACGGGGCCCTCCCCGCCGTGCGCGAATTGCCCCGCTTCCCGCTCTCGCTGCCCGGCTGGGGGTCGGACCGGGCCGTGCCGGGGACTCCCGGTGCCGGCGGGTCCCGGCGCTCGCACGTGCCGGCCCGGCGCAGACAAAGCGGGGACCGCGCCCCGGCCCGGTGCGGCGGGCAGGTGCGGGCATCGGGGGCGGCGAGCCGGGCACACCCCCCGCCGCCCCGCCCGCCTTTGTGTGCCGGGGCTCCCGGGGACGGCGGGGGGCGCAGCGCGGGGCGCGGCCGGTGTTACCGGGCGGCTCCGTGCACAAAGGGCGGCGGCGGCGGCGGCGGCGGCGGGGACAAAGGGGCGGCGGCGGCGGCGGGCGCGCTCACCAGTCGGTGGGGCTGTCCTCGCCGATCACGTCCTGGTAGGAGGCGAGCAGCTCCAGGCGGTGCGCCGCGAAGCCGACGCCAGCCATGGCGGGGCCGGGATGCTGCCGGGGGACCGGAGGGACCGGCCGCCTGCCCGCCTCCGAGACACTGCCGCAGCGGCCGGGCGGAGGGGCGAGCGGCGGGGAGGCTCCGCCCGCCGCCGCGCCCGGTCCTAGCGCCGCGAACGGCGGCCCCCCCCCCCCCCCCCCCCCCCCCCCCCCCCCCCCCCCCCCCCCCCCCCCCCCCCCCCCCCGCCCCCCGCCCCCGCCGCGCCCCCGGGGCGCCCCCAGGGCACCCCGCCGGCCGCGCCGCCCGGCCCGGAGCCGGGACCCCGGGGGTGCGGGCAGCATCGCCCCCGCCTCGAGCCGCCCCCGCACACAGCTCGCCCCCGGGATCCCGCAGCTTGGGCTCTGCTCTGCCCCCGCAACACCGCGCCCTGGGCCATCCCTCGCCCCAGGGACGCTGAACCCCGGCTCAGCTCCTCCTGGGATCCTGCGCGCCGGGTGATTTCGCATCCCGGGCTCTCCTCCGCCCTGAGGACCCCGCATCCTGTGCTGCCCCTCCTGGGAACTTGCACTCTGGAGACCTCTCGTACTGGGTGGTCCTCTCCATCCCCAGACTCTCCCCTGGCTCACGTCCTCTATTTACAGGGGACGTGGCACACAGGGCTTCCTGAGCTGCCCTACGCCGAGCCCCCGTGTCCAAGGTTTCCTCTCCAAGGACACTGCACCGTAGGCTTTACACTACACATCCAGCCATGCCCTCGCTGCTTGCACGAGGAATCAGTGGACACAGCCTTTTTGCGGGCCTCTGCTGCCCGTCTGCCCCTCCTTGCCCACCGCTCCCAAGCCCTGGGTCCTTTCCGAACCTTGCCAGGCTGTGTCCACAAGCACCTTTTCCAGGAGGTTTTGTCTCTGTGTGAACCCACAGTTGGTTTTGCACTGACCCGTGCAGGGATCTGCAGGGGCTCCCAGCCAGGTCCTAATGCTCCTGCCAGGACAGGCAGTGATTCCCTGTCCCCGGCACTGTCCCCAGCCTGGACCAGCACCGCTCTGGAGGGGTCTCTGTGCCAGACCAGCAATTAAGAGCGCACAGGACCTAACTCCTGCAGGTTGGGGATGTTGCTGAAGTGACCTGTCCCAAGACAAGCCCTTCAGAGCAGCCCGTGGATGAACCCAGAGGTACATGGGACAGGGTGCCGAGAGCCCTGGCTGTGCCGCCCGCTCCCCCCACGCCCTCCTTGCACCAGCATTTCCGACCGAGGCCAGAGCCGGAGCCGCCCTAAGAGGCTGTAAGAGTTTGGGAGCAGCTGTAGAGCAGCTGCCGGGGCCAGCGCGGGGGCCGGGGCCGGGACAGGCGCCCCACAAGCAGCTCAGATGGCTTTGGGGGTGGATGCGGTGGGACCCTGCTCAGGGATGTGGTGGGAGATCTGAGCCTGCCGCCGCCAGGCTTTGTTCTCGGAGCAGCGAGGCTGCAGCCCCTCCCCAGGCTCCACCTCCGCAGCCCACCCGAGACCCTCCTTCCGCTGCCTGCGCTCAAGCTCCTCACATGGTGCGCAGAGCTGGTGGGCAAGAGATGCCCTTGGCAAAGCGCAGAGGCACCCTGGGTGGTAGAAGCGTCACCAGGAGGACCCAGAGGCAACAGGGAACCAACCAGAACTAAGCCCTCCATGAACGCAGACCTTGAAATGGCACAAGGGGATGCTTGGCTCTCTCCCGGAGAGAGGCAGGTTGGCTGTAGCACCCTGGCCCTGCTCCACAGCTGGGCACCCCGGGGCTGATCTGGCAGAACCTGTTCCCAGACCATGCTACCCCAGCAGTCCCGCACGACTGCCTGCCCCTGCCCCTTTCCTGCCCTCCACTCACAGCCCTCCACTTGGCTGCTGTCCAGCCAAGCCAGGTTGGCTGCCCACGTGAGGCCACAGCCACCTCACTTTTCCCTGTGCTTCCTCTGACCTTGGCTGCACAGCTGGGACTCACATGCAGGCACTCAGCCCTGCTCCTGCCAGCCCTGCCAGGCAGGCACCAGCTGTTTCTGTCCCTTGTTGCACCCGTGTCCTGCTGCTTCTCAGTGTGACCATCCCACTGCTCATGTGCCCCAGCCGGAGCACCTGACCCACTCCCAGCCTGTCTTTATCCCTTGACTTTCCTCGCCCCATCTTTGATGTGCTCTTGCACTCCGGGACCTGGCAGTGAGAAGATGTGGCACCGCAGCCCAGATCTGGGCGATGCCAGGAGGCATTTGGCTTCCCACAGCCAGCTCCTGCCCCCGGCAGAACCTTCCAGTAGATGAGCAAGACAATTTTCCTTACAATTGCTCATCATGGTAAGAGCTGCAATTATTAATGACCGTTCCAGCTGTCAGAGTGGAGAGGGAGGAGAACACCAGCTTCCCCACACCCACTGCCCTCGAGCCCGTTCCAGCCGGCGTGGCCTCACACCCGTCCTTGGGGACGGCAGCTGCATCGCGTGAGCGAACGCTTGGCTGCTCCACACCAGAGAACGCCCAGAGCTGGTGCACATGGCCCACGTGTGCCCCAGGACTCCTCGTCCCCTCTACAGGACTCAGGGCCAGGGCACAGGGAGCAGAGGACACTGCCAGGCATGCAGGGATCCCCACTAAGGTCCCCCTTCCCCATCTCTCCTTGCTGCATTTTGCCCCCAGATTAATTACTGCCTCCATTAGTGGTGCTGCCTGCTACAAGAGGGATGACCCAGTCGACACAAGGGGTCAAGCCTGGGCTGACACGGGCAGAGGAGGAGAAATCTGAGGCGAAGATTTTCCCTGGAAAGCTGGAAGGAGCTGAGTCAGGCCCCAGAGGGAGCGGGATGAGGGCAGAGCATGACCTTCCCAGCTGGCCGCACCTCACCCGGCAAAACCACTGCCCTGGAGACAGCCGGCACTTGCAGAGATGTGTTTATTAAAGGCACTAAAAGCACCGTGGCTACATCATTGCAGCCCGACCGGAGGGTGTGGGTTAGGGGGAGGCATCGATGGCCCCGGGATGGCAGTGGCAGAGAGCTCTTTGGTAGGAAGCTGTGCCCAAGCCTTGCAGGAGCAGCTGTCTAGCTGGGCTGGCCATCAGCACACGCTGCCAGCCCACAGCTGGGCCATGCTGGGCTGGGGGTGCTGCCAGCCCCAGGGGAGCAGCAGGGTGGGGGGCATGAGGCACAGGCACGCCTGGAATGCAACTGGGGCAGGAAGCCACCGCAGCAGTTTGACGGGTGGCTGGTGGATTGTCATGGGCCCAGCAGGGGAGCAGGACCAGGTCTCCAGCCCCAAGCACACAGCAGGGAAGGTGGGGGAAGAGTGAGACAGGAGCTGGTCCTCACCCACTCAGGGATGTGTAAGGAGTATCCCTGCCCCAGCACTGAGCTGCCAGGCAGCAAGGGAGCAGCCCGGCTGTGGCAGACCCCCTCCAATTCCAGCCTCAGCATGGTTGTTCTCACCATGCTGCATGGCTCAGGGGCAGGAGATCCATGCAGCATCCCCTTCCCAGGGCTCCTAGGGCCAGCTGAGAAGCATTTAAGAAGCCACCCAGCTATAAGGGGCTCTGCACCCATCACTGTATCTGTCTGGAGTTGAGCCAGGAGCTGCCGGGAAAGAGGCAGGAGCAAGAGAAAGGGCCAAGGGCCCAGCCTGGCTCCCTGGGGCGAGCAGGGCAAGGGGAGAGGAGCATGCAGGGCCAGGGGCATGTGTGGGCACAGCTGAATTCCCACCCTTCACACGTGGGAGAAAGCGTGGCTCTTGCACAGCGGCTTGTCCTTCTTGGAATAGAATGTCTTCCCTTCCAGGTTGGTCTGGCAGATCTGGGGAGGAGAGTGCAGGTGGTCAGGTTGGATCCAGCCTCTGGATCCCCCACAGCCCAGCACCGGTGTCACACTGGGACCACTCCACATGGCCCTAGGGCACTGTCAGGGACCAGAAGGCTCAGAGCAGAGTCCCAAGCCCCTAGAACAGAGGCAAGTGGGAAAAAGCTTGTAGCAGCAGGTCCCCTGTGCTGCTGGTGTACCCCACCCAGAGCAGGACTGTCAGGGCCTGCAACACTTGAGGAGGGAGGAACACTGCTCACCGCACAGACAAAGCAAGTGTCGTGCCAGCTGAACCCCAGCGCCTCCAGGAACCGGTCCCCAGCATCGATCTTGAAGTCACAGCCGCGGCACTTGGTGCCAAACATCTTCTCATAGTCTGACAGGAAAGGCAGAGGCCAGGTCAGCACGTCCATGCACTACAGCTGCACATCCCAGGGGAGCAGGGCTGCAGCTCAGCCACAATCCCACAGAAACAGCCTGGGGACAACTCTGCCAGTCCCCATCCAGGTGAGATAACGCCCTGGACACTTGGGAGAGGTGCAGGGTGGCCCGGCCACCACAGGGCTCCAGGGGGAGGAGGAGAACCTCATCTCCCAGGATGCAGCACTCGCTTTGATGTACATCCTCCCTTATTGCCATGGCAACACAGGAGCATGGCACTACCCTGCAGATAGGGAGAACCAGGATGGAGGGCTCAGGGCTCTGGGACTGGGGTCCCCATGCTCCCCACAGCCCAGGGGGAGCCCCACAGAGCAGGGCAGCTCATGCCCCCACCCTGTGCACAGCTGCTGAGTCCTAATGGCGCCCCAAGGCCACAGGAGGTGACACATGGGGTCCCTGGGTCCTACCTCTCTCACAGTAGGGCTGTCCCTCCTCCATGTAGAAGGCTCGGTTGCGGATGGGAGTTTTGCAGGCATTGCAGGTGAAGCACTGCACGTGCCAGGTCATCTTCAGTGCGTGCATCACCTCCTGGAGGGGAGCCACTGTCAGCCAGGAACAGGACCACCAAAGGCAGGAAAGGGCAAGGAATCCCCTGAGATGGGACCAATGTGGGAAGGGACAGAGCCAGGCACTCACAGCAGAGGGCAAGGACAGGAGATGGAGGACAGGCTGGGGGACACTCACCCCAGTGATCTTCTTCTTGCACTTGGCGCAGCTGGGTGCGTAGCGCGTGTCGTAGCACTTGGGGCAGAAGATGGAGCCTTTCTCCTCAAAGAAGCCGCCCTCATCCAGCATCTTCCTGCACTGGCAGCAGGTGAACTCCTCGGGGTGGTAATAATGTCCCAGCGCCACGAGGTACCGTCCCCTGTGGCAGGACAGAGCCACGTCAGCCACGCAGGGGCCCAGGACGCTGGCGTGGCAGTGGTGGTGGCCAGGGCTCACCTGATGACCTTGTTGCACTTGTAGCACAGGGGGGTGCGGCCAGGCCCCTCGGGGGCTTGCTGGGCTGCCTGCACGATGGAGCTGCGGTTCTGCATGGGGGTGGGCGTGGCCGGCTGGCTGTGCTTGCTCACCACCGTGCTCGTCTTGTCCGGGGCGTAGCGCTCGGCAAACGAGGGGTCCACAGCCCAGGGTGGGCGGCTGGTGGGGCTGGGGGTGGCACTGGGGGTCCTGGGGGCTGCACACACATACAAGCCTTAAGGATAGTGCTCCTCATCCCTTGGCAGCCCCTCCCCAAAAAGCCCAGAGGTGTTTTGCTCACCCAGTCCTGGCTCAGTCTTCATCGTTGCTCCTGGGGATGGGTCCGGCACGGAGACCTGGCTACAGAACAAGCAGTTCATCCAGCCTGTCCCACTCACCCCCACTGCCCAGGGGGTGCAGGCAGGACTCCCCACCCCAACAAGCAAGAGGGAGCTGGCCAAGCCCCCATGCCCAGCAGTAGCTGGTTTAGTGATGAGGTACTGAGTCAAGGGCCAAGGCGCAGCACCCCCAGGGTCTCTGGTACCCACTGTGGTGGTCTGGGGAAAGGCAGGAGGGAGAGTTCTGGGTTTCTCCAGACTGACCAGGGACCCCAGGGACCACACAGACTTTGGCTGCCTACTAATATGTGATGATAACCCCCAGTCTCATTGGGGTGCAGGGGGACCTGGACATGACCTGATGCAGGGAGCCCCAGGGTCCAGCTCTGCAGCACTGGAACAGGCAGGGCAAGCCAGGGCTAGAGAGACACAGCCCACTGAAAGAGCTGGGACAGGGAAAGAGGGAGAGCCAGTGCCTCTGTGCCTCTCCAAGACAAATTCAAAAAGGAGATGGCAACAAACTCAACTTCCATTTGTGCCAGAGCAAACTAGGCAGAGCTGGTACCCAAGGGCCATAGCACCAGGGCAGGAGGTGTCACAGAGAGGTAAAGGCAGAAAATGGGGTGCTGTCCACCCCTCTGCCTGGCTATACAGAACAAGGAACAACCCTGACAAGGTGGTGACTTCCACAAGCTCAGCTGCCCCACAGCCCCATGTCAATGCCCAGAACCCTGTGCCCAAGGTCCAGATGTTGCCCAAACATCACAACAACCCAGTGAGATTTGCCCAGTGCCATCAGCCACTCCCAACCCACTGTTTCTGGACACCATGGCGCAGCTCAGCATTCCCAGCTGAGGAGCAGCAATGCCCAAGGGGTTCTGCCCAGGACATGCAGCCCCCCAGCTCCTGCAGCCACACACTCCCCTTACCTGGGCTTCCTAACAAACACATCATCATGATCCTCCACTGAGCGCAGCAGGAGAGAAAGGAGGGAACAGTCAGTCCTCACAGACCGAGGCCCAGGCACAAGAAGAGGGGAAAGGGAAAAGAGGAAAACCAACCTCTCCTCCCACCAACCCCTGCCCCAAAACAAAGCCCTGCCCAGCCACAGGGCAGACTAAGATCCCAGACCAGTGTTACCACCACGAGACCACTCATAGCCCCAGGCAGCTCCCACTGACTCATCCACCCCGCAGGAACCACAAAGGGCCAAAATCAACACTCCACTGCTACTCCACACTCTGCTGGACCCTGGACCGGGGAAAGTCCAGCATCCCTAGTCAGTGCCAGGCCCTGTGGGGACTCACTGCTGCTGTCTGTGCCCGTCAGCTGGGCCAGTTTGCGGAAGGTGCGGGACTGGGAGGTCCCAGTGCGGGGCTGCCAGTCCTCAGCGTCCTCTATCAGTCGCAGCTTCCCAGGGTTACACCCGGGGGTGCTGGGGGGCTCCAGAGGCTGCGGGGGCTGTCTGTGAGTGACAGAGGGCAGGAGCTCAGCCAGCACAAAGCACAGACCCTGCTCTGGAACAGGGAAGTACTCCAAAAGGTGCCCTGGCATATGCCAACACGGCTGCCAGACCCTGGCACTCACCGCTGCTCCACCGTGCCCCAGCTGGACCCATGGGCATCCCTGTGGCATCAGAAAAAATGGTGGCACAGCAGTCAGTGGCTGATCCATGGCTCAGCCCATGCTTCCTGTATGCACCCACTATCTCAGAGATACAAGAACCTCATGGAAATGCTGACAGCATTCACTCCTAACCAGCCTTGCAGCCATTCCATGACCCCACAAGATATCGTGCCCCAGAGACAGTGCCTGCCCTGTGACTCCAAAAATGCCCAGCAAAGTGTTGTGTCACCAGCCACCCCTACACACTGTGTCCAGCACATTGTGCTGCATATTGGCTTCCCCAGCTTGGTGCCAGCAGTGCCCAGTGGGTCTTGCCTGCACACCCATTTGGGGACAAACTGGCCAATGGGTGTCCAGGTAGGAACCTCTCAAGATGAAGGTCAAAGCAGTGGCGGAGCACTGATAGTGCCTATTGTGGGGTGAGCACAGAGTGGGTTCTGCCCTCCACCACCAGCTCAGCCCTGGGAGAGGGCGAGGGCAAAGAGGGACAGAAGAATTCACAACAGGGCCAAGAGTTTGCCCGGAGTCATGAGAAACAGTGCTGCTGAGGGGAAACGAACCAGCAGCACTCACCCAGCTCTGCCACACCAGGCTCACCAAACAATGTGCCCCAGGTGCAGGCACTACCCAGCACCTCCCAACATCCCATAGCTAGGTTTTCCCAGTGCCATCAGTCTCCTACACTCCTTGTATGCCCAAAAGGCTAAGGTGAAGCTCAGCATCCCCAGCTCAGAGCCAGCAGTGCCCAGACACCTGGGACATGCAGCCTCAGCACATGCTCCCCTTACCTTGGCTTTTTAACAATCTCATCCTCACCATCCTCCACTGAGTGCAGCAGGAGAGAAAGGGGGAGATGGAGTCAGTCTGCAGTGACTGATACTCAGGAAAAGCAGGAAGGGAAAGGAGGAAAACCAACCTCTGCACCCACCATCCCCTTGCCCCATCTCACAGCCCTGCTTGGCCACGGGGCAGAGCGTGGCCCCAGAAGAGCAGCACCATGAGCCACACACAGCCCTGGGCAGCTCCAGCTGTCTCAGCTGCCCTCAAGGGAAGACCTGGGGCCAAAATCCAAACTCCTGATACCACATCACCCCACTGCCTCTCCCAGCTTCTGGTTACCCCAAAACAGTCCCACATCCCCAGCCAGCACCAGACCCTGTGGGAACTCACTGCCATCTGTGCCCGTCAGCTGGGCCAGTTTGCGGAAGGAGCGGGACTGGGAGGTCCCGGTGCGGGGCTGCCAGCCCTCAGCGTCCTCTAACATCCTCAACTTCCCAGGATCACACCCGGGGGTACTGGGGGGCTCCAGAGGCTGCCTGTGAGTGACAGAGGGCAGGAGCTCAGCCAGCACAAAGCATAGACCCTGTCCAACACTGCAGCACAAGGCAGTGCTTCCAAAGGTGACCTGGCACATGGCAACACCTCTGCCAGATCCTGGCACTCACCGCTGCTCCACTGTACCCCAGCTGGACCCATGGGAATCCCTGTGACATTGGTAAAAACAGCAGCACAACAGTCACTCTTTGACCATCCCTGCCATATGCACCCACAGCCCCATGGAGACGACGTAAGCCACGTGGAAATACTGACCAGCAGCCTTGCAGCTGCTCCACAGCAAAGCACCAAGACCAGTTGCTGCCCAGCACCTCCCAACATCTCCAGGAAGGTGTTGTGATTGTCACCAGCCACCCCTACCCAGATGGGTGCTTGGGGCAGGACCCTCCTGAGGTGATGGTCAGAGCAGTGGCTGAGTGCTGGCAGTGCCCATTGTGCAGCTCTGAAAACACCTTAAGTCTGGGAGAGGGGACAGAGAGGGAGGAAAGAAGCCCCAGCAGTGCAAAGAGCACACCCAGAGTGACTGCAAGCAGCGAGGGTGAAGTGCCTGTGGGGGCTGAGCCTGGCATGGGCACCATGTGGCTCCTGCCCCTTACCTGGGCTTTTGAACGGGCTCTTCCTCACCATCATCCACTAAGGACACCAGGAGAGAAAGGGGGAGATAGAGTCAGTCTGTGGCATACTGAGGCCCAGGCAAAGCAGGAAGGAAAGGGAAGGGAAAGGAAGGAAAAATGCTCTCTCCTCCCACTGTTCCCCTGCCTCAACACACAGCCCTGCCCAGCCACAGGGCAGAGCATGGCTCCAGCCCAGCAGCACTACCACAAGCACACAGCCCTGGGCAGCTCCCACTAGTTCAGCTGCCACAAAGGGTCCAAATGAGGTCAAAACCAATGCTCTGCTCTAACAACACGCTCTGGCCTTTATCCAGTTGCCCCAGCAAAGCTGGGCACACCTGGACAGTCAGCCAGAGCCAGGACCCATGGGAACTCACTGCTGTTTGCGCCCACCAGCCGGGCCAGTTTGCGGAAGGAACGGGACTGGGAGGTCCAGGTGTGGGGCTTTGAGTCATCAATGTCCTCTAACATCCGCAGCTTCACAGGGTCACACACAGTGTCACTGGGGGGCTCCAGCAGCTGTGGGGGCTGCCTGTGAGTGACAAAGGGCAGGAGCTCAGCACCAAGAATAGACCCTGCTCTGGAACAGGGAAGCACCCCCAAAGATGCCTGGCACATGCCAATACCTCTTCCAGACCCTGGAACTCACCGATGTTGCCCCGTGCCCCAGTTGGACCCACGGGCATCCCTGCGGTATCAGAAAGAATGGTTGGCACAGCAGTTAGTGTTTGACCAGCCCATCCCTCCCCATACACATCCACAGCCCCAGAGATACACGAGCTGTGTGGAAATGCTGACAGCATTCACTCCTGATCAGCCTTGCAGCCATTCCATGGCCCCACATGATACTGTGCCCCAGGTTTGTTCTCGTTCCCTACCCTGCAACTCCCAACACTCCCAGCAAGGTGCTGTCAGTGCCACCAGCCACCCCTGCCCACTCTGTCCAGCACATTGTGCTGCATTTTGGCCGAGTTTGCTGCCAGCAGTGCCAAGAGGGTCCTGCCTGCACACCCAGCATGAGGACACCTCATCTGGGGACAGCGTGCCTGGCTGGTGGGTGTCTGGGCAGGACCCTTCTGAGGTGAAGGTCAGAGCAGCAGCTGAGCACTGGCAGTGCCTGTTGTGGGGTGAGCACAGGGCAGAGCCTGTGGCTCTGCCAACAGCTTGGCTCTAGGAAGAAGGAAAGGACAGGACAGAGGGTGGACAATAAGGAGAGGAGAGAAAAAACAGCAACAGGGCAAAGAGTTTCCCCTGAGTGACTGCAAGCAGTGAGAGAGAACAAGCCTTGTGGGCTGAGCCTAGGGCTTCTGTGGCTCCTGCTGCTGCCCTGGCACATGCTCCCCTTACCTTGGCTTTTTAACAATCTCATCCTCACCATCCTCCACTGAGTGCAGCAGGAGAGAAAGGGGGAGATGGAGTCAGTCTGCAGCAACTAAGATCCAGGAAAAGCAGGAAGGGAAAGGAGGAAAACCAACCTCTGCACCCACCATCCCCTTGCCCCATCTCACAGCTCTGGCCAGCCACAGGGCAGAGCACAACCCCAGACCAGTGGCACCACCATGAGCCCATGCACAGCCCTGGGCAGATCTTGCTGGCTCAGCTGCCCTCAGGGATTTACTTGGGGCCAAAACCCAAACTCCTGGGTATTACATCACCTCACTGCCTCTCCCAGCTTCTGGTTACCCCAAAACAGTCCCACATCCCCAGCCAGCACCAGACCCTGTGGGAACTCACTGCCATCTGTGCCCGTCAGCTGGGCCAGTTTGCGAAAGGAGCGGGACTGGGAGGTCCCGGTGCGGGGCTGCCAGTCCTCAGCGTCCTCTAACATCCTCAACTTCCCAGGATCACACCCGGGGGTACTGGGGGGCTCCAGAGGCTGTGGGGGCTGCCTGTGAGTGACAGAGGGCAGGAGCTCAGCCAGCACCAAACACAGATCTTGCTTCAGCACAGGGCACTGCTGCCAAAGGTGCCCTCACCAGAGCCTGGCACTCACCACTGTTCCACTGTGCCCCAGCTGGACCCATGGGCATCCCTGTGATATTGGAAAGAACGGTAGCACAACACTCAGTGTTTGATCACGGCACAGCCCATCCCTCATAAAGGCACTCCAGAACTAAGAGAAGGCAGAGACACTCACCCAGCTCTGCCCTGCCATCCTACAGCCTCACACGAGGCTCATGGGACATTGTCCAGCTGCTGCCTAGCACCTCCCAATACCCCCAGCAAGGTGTAGTCAGTGCACCAGTCTTCTCCACATTCCTTTTCCTCAAGAAGCAATGGCAGAGCTTGGCCTCCCCAGCTTGGTGCCAGCAGTGCCCAGCAGGTCCTACCAGCACAGGACATCTTGTCTGGCCAGTGGGTGTCCTGGCAGGACCCTCCCGAGGTGATGGCCAGAGCAGTGGCTGAGCTCTGGCAGTGCTCACTGTAGGGTGAGTGCAGAGTAAGCTCTGCAGCTCCACCAACAGCTCGACTCTTGGAGAGGGAGAGAAAAAACAGCAAGAAAGCAAAGAGCTTCCCCTGAGTGACTGCAAGCAGTAAGAGAGAACCAGGTGTGTGGGCTGAGCCTGGGGTGGGCACCTTGTGGCTCCTGCTGCTGCTCCAGCACACGCTCCCCTTACCTGGACTTTTTAACAAGTTCATCCTCACCATCCTCCACTGAGCACATCAGGAGAGAAAGGGGGAGATGGAGTCAGTCTGTGGCAACTGAGGCCCAGAGACAGCAGAAAGGGAAAAGGACCTCTCCTCCCACTGCCCACCTGTCCCAACACACAGCCCTGCCTGGCCACGGGGCAGAGCACGGCCCCAGCCCAGGAGCACCACCACGAGCCCACACAGCCCAGGCAGCTTAGCCTGCTTTAACTGCCCCACAGGGCCAAAATCAACATTCCACAAGGCACCAAAGCCTTCATCCAGCCCCAGTTTCTCCAGCAAAGCTGGGCAGTCAGCCAGTGCCAGGCCCCATGGGAACTCACTGCTGTCTGTGCCCACCAGCCGGGACAGTTTGCGGAAAGAACGGGACTGGGAGGTCCAGCTGTGGGGCTTTGAGTCGTCAATGTCCTCTAACATCCTCAGCTTCACAGGGTCACACACAGGGGTGCTGGGGGACTCCAGCAGCTGTGGGGGCTGCCTGTGAGTGACAGAGTCATCTGTCAAATCTGACAGATCTCCTGGTGCTGTCCCCCACCTTCACCAGCACAGAATCACAGCACACCAGTATCAGAGATGCCACATCTTGTCTTACTCCCCATTCCCCAACTCCTCCCTCACAAAGGCTGGGCCCGTGAAGGACTTACTCTGGAATGACCACCACCATTCCTGGTAATTTGAAACTGGCCCCAAGGGCCAGAAAGAGAAAGGACAGAGCAAGAATAAGCCAAGGTCAAAAAACACCATCAGGGGAAGCTGCACCACAGCCGTCTATGGCAGTGTCACCTGGCCCTGGGCACTGTGCCCAGCATAGCCCATCAGCCCTTGCCCAGCCACATTTTGGGGAACAGGGAATCGATCACACACAGGGACACTCCAGGGCCCCAGCAGCTGGCAGAGACAGGAAGCTGTCCCCTCTACACTGAGGATAGCTTGGTGCCAGGAGTGACCCACCCACATGGGCAGAGCAGCGCCTGCTGTCCATCCCCAGCCTGGCCCTGCCCCGGAGGACAGGGCACTGTCAGGGAAGAGGCATGCAGGGAGAATAGAGAGAGCAGGTAAAAGGCTTACTGACTTGTCAAGGCTCAGCACCTGTAGGGAGAGGGAAAGAGAAAGGGAGGAGAGAAAGAAAGAAAAAGGAAGGTGAAATTAGATCTGCAGCACCCAAGAAGTTTCCAGAGCTCACCTATGGCCTGCATTAGTCCCCCTATCCCTGAGTCTCACATCCAGCTCGCCCAGGGCTGAGAGCACACTGGGACACAGGGGCAGATGCCTGCAGACCAGACGGTGCTCCCTCAGTCCCCAGAACAGGCCTGGATGCCCAGGGCAGTCAATGCCACATCCCACCCCGTTGCCCAGTTCCTGGGCCCTATGGCAGCTCTGGCAGGAGGAGCAGGGACCAACAGCTGCTGGACATAGGCAGGAGAGCCGGGGGAGAATGATGTGGCAGGGTTGGAGGCCATCACTCTGCCCAGCCCCTTCCTGCAGCCAGGGGAACAGCGGGACTTCCCCAGGCAGGCACCAGCCAGAGGTCACAGCCAGCCAGTGTCCTGCTACAGCCACCGTGTCAAGCCTGGCAGGAGTCCCCACAGGCTAACACATCCTTGAGCAAGGGACCGGCATGAGCGTGGCCGTGTGTCCCTGTGTGCGACACTTCTGTTGTGCCACCTCAGCACCAACCACTGGTTACTCCGGCACGGGCGCTGTCACCCGCTCCCACCCAGGGTGCCTGGCATGCAAGGCGCAGCAGGGCCGGGCAGCAGGCTCCCCCCGATCCTCAGGGAGCAGGATGGACAGCAACATACCCGTTGTGCTGGGGGGTGCAGGCGGGCGCCAGGGGCGCGTACGTCACGGGTTTCGTCACCAGCCCGGGCCGTGGGTTCGGAGGTGAGCCGGCCCCGAAGGGCCGAGCTGTTTTGTTGAGGGCGGTGCTGGGAGCGAAGTTATATTTCAGGGGTTCAGAGCAGGGGAGTGAGTCCTGAGCGAGACAAAACACACAGACACGGGCTCACACGTCAAGCAGCATGCAAGGAGCAGCCCTGGGCCAGGCAGCGCAGCAGGCAGCCAGGTAGGAAAGCCGGACAGCACGTGCACCTTGGAGACCAGGTTCTGCCAGGCTGGCACTCACTCCACTGGGCACCTGGCCCAGCAAAGCAGGTCACAAACCGAGCCTGAGGGTCCTCTGAAGATTAGTAGGTGCCCCAGACACTCGCTGCTACGCGTGGCAGGGCGGTGCATGCACACACGCCGACTGCAACTGTCCCATGGCACAAAGCTGAACACATGCAGGTGGCTTCTGCCCAGGAGCCACCAGTCACCAGCCCCAGCCCTACCTCCCTGTGCCAGGGCACTCCCCAGCACTAGCAAACACGGTGCTGCACCTGCCCAGCCTCCTCCCCTGTGCTGGCCCCTCTGCATCCCTGCCCACACCCAGCACCAGTAGGGGCACAATCTGGGACCAGGCACCTACTGTGCAGATCCCACTCCCTCTGATCCTCCACGGTGCCAAAGGTCAGAGCTGCTCCTCCAGCTGGGTTTTCTAGACCTCCAAACACACCCTAGCTCCCTAAAAGCCCCAGGAGCAAAGGCCAATTGTTTGACTACACTGAGTTTCTATTCCCCTGAGATGAGGCTGAACTGTCACTGCAGCACCAGGAGCAACACGTACCTTCTGTGGCTTCCCCAGCTGGTTCTGGGCTCTGCAAGAGAGGAGACAGATGGGCAGGTACTGGAGTTGGCCCAGACACCACCAGCATGTTGGTACCCCAGAGATGCAGCACCCAACTGAGGGGAAGCATGGCCAGCTGGCACTGCCCTGTGGCTTGCAGTCAGGTTAAGCCTTATCCAGGCAAGCAAGCAGTGCCCTTGGACACAGCCATGGACTTCCAGGCTCTAAGTAAGGAGCAGTGATACTGTGATATGGTGATGCCAGGAGGTGGCACTGGGGAGAGGGCCCTGATTACACTCCAGTCATACCAGAACCCCATGTTTGAGGGACCCACAATTCCTACCTGCTCAAGGTGAGGCAGAGCCTGTCCCCGCAGGCACGGATCCTGTTCTGGGCCTCGATGTGTGTCATGGCACTGGTGCTCTCCCCGTCGATGTACAGCACCCAGTCACCCACTCCCACGCCAGCCTGGGCCGCCTTCCCACCCAGAGTCAGCTGCAGGACAGACAGGATTAGGGAGAGCCAGAACAGTCAAGCAGTGACGTGGGAGCAGAGGGATATATCCTCGCGAGGGCAGGGGCCTGCCAAGGCCCATAATCCCCAGTCCAGCACAGGACACCACACAGATCTGACCCAGGGGAAAGTGGGGACTCCCACATTACTCCCCATTTCCCTCTGCATGAGCCCAGAGCAGCCTCTTCCCCTTGGCAGCAGCAGAAGGCAAAGCACTTCTCCAGAGCACTGCCCAGCCCCTGCCCTCTGGCATGGCTGGGGACCCTGCCAGCATCCCAGGGCCTCATCACCGTGACACCAAACATAGAGGCAGTGCTGCCTCAGCCTCGACAAGAAGCCCAGCCACCCCTTGGAGTCATCCCTGTGGTCCCGGGGCAGGAAGGGAGCACAGTGAGTCAGGGCCCGTTGGGCAGCCCACATCTCACTGCAAACCACAGGCATGTCCAGCCCCTCGCCTGGGGCGGGGGAAGGACAGGGGAGGCACCCCTTGGGCACTCCCCCCAGCCGCCTGTGCTCCCGTCCCGTTCCCACCAGGCGCAGACATTACCTCATTCCCACAAAGGAGCAGGAGCCCTCCCGGGGCAGGGAAACACCCGCCCCCACCCACGTCGCCCCGCTGGGACAGCCGGGAGCACAGCCACAAGCTCCCCTTCCCGGCCACAGTGCCAGGGATGCGCCTGGTCCCCGCTAAGGCTCCGTGGCACGGCTGTGCATCAACCCAACGCTGGGAAGTGGAGGCTGCCCTCCTCTCCCACCAGGGATGCACAGCCAGAGGCGAGCAGGGCCCGGAGCACCGCACACAGCTCCCAGGCACTGACAGACAGACAGACAGACAGACAGACGTGGGCAGGCTGCAGCCATTCCTGCTCCTCCAGCATGGAAGAACTTGAGGCGCTTGGACTCAGACCAAGTATTTCCTCAAGTCCTGTTCGACATGAACATAAAAGGAGCGAGCCAGATTCCCAGCACTGTCAGAGGGCTGAAAAATCCTTGCCACAGAATTCTGGCCCCTCCTTGCAGAACCCAGCTCACCCCAGAGCCATACATCCCTTCTCTAGGCCAGCACCAGCCCTCCATGCAAGGCCAAACACCACATAAGGGCTGGATGCGGCACAGTTCCACCTGCATACCATTGCTATTCCCAGCAGGACGTGGATACCCCGACTACCCCCACCCCGTATCTCCACACTGCCCTCCTATTCCTCCTGGCACAGGAGGGTGCCCTCAGCAGCAGCGATGCCCCCAGCTCCTGGCCATGCTGCTGCAAGCCCCAGCTGGCTGCCCCGGAGGGCTGGGGAAGGCATGGGGCGGCTGCGTGGGTTTGGAGGCAGGAGCAGGAGCTGGGAGAGGTTTTCACACGACTGCCCAGGAAAGGGAGAGCACGTCAGGCTGCGTCATGAAGCCTCACCCAGCCTGGTCAGCACTTCCCGTTCCCCTCCATGCCAACGTGCAGGAAACCCCTTTGACAGGTGCCAGCTCAGCGAGGAGCCATGGCAGTGCCAGCCCTCCTACTTCCCACCCCGACCCGCTAACCAGGGCTTCCTTCCTCCCCTCTCCACCCAGCCTTTTGTTCCCTGCACCTCCATCACCACACCAGAGAGGTGCACACCTACAGCCCTGTCCAGGGGCCTCCAGGACAGAGCCTCCCTCAGCACATCCCTCAGTACCTTCTCACCAGTACCATCAAAGTGTCTCTCCTCTTCCCCAGCTGGCAGATGTCAGGATGTGCCACATAGCATCCAGCTATTCAGACTGCATTCCTTATCCTGGCTCCAGCACAGGGACCATGGTTTACAGCCTGCTAAGCGAGGGTGCCAGCACCCTAGCAGAGCCCCGTGCTGCAGGAAGAGCATGTCAGAGGGCCACGGTGGCACCTCTTTTGTGTGATCAGTGAGCTGAAACAGCCTCACTGCTCACCCAGGAGTACCACAGCAATGGACACAGCTAAAAGTTAAGCCAGTGGACACACCAGCATTGCCCTGTGCTGCCCACCCCTGCAGACCTGCAAAGCAGGGCCCCACTGCAGCCCACAGTGCCGGGGCAGGATGCTTCCTTCCTGCCCACTGCAGCAGGGCCAGCTCATGGGAAGCAGGGGCCAAGGACAGCAGCATGCTCTGGGCAGGAGCTCGGGGCCTGGGAATGCCTCTGGAGTGCAGAACAGCACAGGCTCACACCTTCCCATCAGAGTACACCACCCTGCTGTGCAGTCCAGCCTCACAGAGAGCCCCCAAAGCTGCCTGCATTCCCTAGGAATGTCCTCACTGCTTCTGCCCTGCCTAGGACGACAGCACTGCCCAAGCCTCACCAAGCACTGCTTCACGAGGCCCCTGCCCCAGGCTCTGGGAGGCTCCTCCATCCGACCAGACCCTTTGTTAAGAACTGGCTCGCAGCCAAGAGAAACATTTTTTAGAGAATAAACTCGCTGAAGCCGTCTCTGCGTGCTCAGCAGAGATCAGCAAGCCCCAGGGCAGCAGCACTGGCGACTCCAGCCTCGCACAGTGCCCTCAGGGCCCGTGCTCCATGCTGGGTTGCTGTGGAGATCTGTGCCCTCTGGGACAGGTGTGCAGCGCCCGGCTCGTGCCAGGGGCAGGTCCCCACGCAGCACTCGATGCCACGAGCAAAGCTGTCCTTTGAGAAGCAGCCTCCGTGCCAGTTGCCCTAGCGCCAGCAGCACAGGCGATGCAGTCACATTCCAAGGCTTATAAGGCAATTGCGTGGCCAAAGCTGTGGCCAGCACCCGCCCAGGGACGGGGACCTGCACACACCCAGGGTCAGACCTGGGAACATCACGGAGAGGCTCAAAACAGCGGCCTCAGGGCACAACCAGCTGTGGCACAATGGCTCTCACTGGAGAAACGGCAGAGTTTTATGGACATGTCCCTGTGCAGGCAGCAGTGCAGCTTCCTCCTCTCCATGCCCATTTCAGGAGTGACCTCAGGCACAGAGTTGGGAGCTGTGCTGTGGAAAGGAGGGCAGAAGAGCACTGGCCAGGTTCTGGGATGCCAAGCCCAGGGCTGGGGTGCAGACCGGGAAGCCAGTCCCTCATCTCAGAGAGTAGATCCCCTCCCGCTGTGGTGGGCACACTCCGGAAGGGGCCTCCACTGCCCCCCTCTGCAGAGGCTGTGCAGAATTTCACGTTTCAGCTTGCAGCTCTCTACCCGGAACACCCCCGTGCTGGGCTGCAGCTGATAAGGGACCAAGGAGGCTACATGGAGCCAGGCAGGGCAGGATGCAGCATTCCCAGAGCCCCAGCTCATCTACATCCCCCGTAAGGCTCTGCCTCAGCCACTGCGGCCTCCCTCCCACAGAATCAGGAGGAAGGATGAGTGTCACCAGCCTTGGTTTCTCTTACCCTGGAGATGGAGAGCGGCATGCTGAAATCCTTCCCTCCCTGCAGCCTGAAGCCCCAGGGTGCCGGCCCATTCAGCATCACCTTGTAGGACTCCATGTCACCCATCTCTGCAAGGGAAGAGGGTGTGATTCTGTTGTTAGGGTACGTGGAAACAATGCAGGGAGATCAGGCGAGGAGAGGGCTAGGTGCCTGGCAGGGTAGGACAGGAGGCAGGTCACGTTTCCAGCTGTAACTCCACCCTGACCATCCTACATTGTGGTTAGAGACGCACCCCAAATCCATCAGCATCTTCTCCAGTAACGTCAGAGCTGAGGGGCCCAGGCTAACATTGACTAGTGCCAGGGAGCCAGGCACAGCCCTGCTGCCACCCACAGCGGAGTGTCTGTGGGCTCTGCTCTCCTCCCAAACCTGGGATGTGCTCTCCCTTGCAGCACCCCAGGAACTCCTGCTGCTGAGAGCCAAGGCTGTTCAGACCGCAGAGAAGCAACAGCAGGTACAGAACGACAGGAACCAGAAGCATTTCTGCCGGATGAATTAGCAGCAGCAGCACAGGAGCTGCGTGATGCCACCCGAGGCGCCTGGCAGAGCAGCCAGGCTGGCGCTCCGGCAGCCGGCCGAACAGATGCTCCCTGGGAGCGAGCCCATCTCCGGGGCTTCGGCAGGAGGGAATCCCGCCGCTCCCCTGCCTGACAGCTGTCAGCCGGCCAAGGCTCCGGACAGATGGGCCAGCACCAGCCTCTTGTCACCTTTTACCTGGAAGAAGCCGCCAGACCCCCTCGAACGGCCCCAGGACCTTCCTACTGAGGGCGGACAGGGCCGGCTGCGGAGCTCCCCACGCCTCGCACGGCCGGCTGCAGGGCCGGGGGCCAGCGTGCCCCCGCTCTCCCCGGGCCGGTGCGGGCTATATAAGGCGTGTAAGATGACACCAGCCCGCTCCCCGCTCGGGAGGGCCGGGGGAAGAGCTGCGTGTCAGGCATTCCCGGCGCCCGGGAGCCGCGCAAGCTCCAGCGAGGCGCCGGGACGGGGCGGCCCGGAGCGGGCGGATACCCCCAATCCCTCCCCGGCGGGACGGGGCCCGACTGCATCGGGGGTCTCCAGCGTGCACAGGCTGGACAACCTTTCTCATTGCTGGGAAGCCCCATCCTGACCCGCGGGGGGCCTCGGGACCTCTTCCCATCCCACACCACCGTCCCACCCGGGGTGGAGGACGTCGGCTCTGCCCCACATGGGCCCGAACCTGATCGCCCGCCTTTCCCTTAAGCCAGGCCTCAGCTCTCCACCCCCCACGCCCCAATCCCCCCCGGCAGAGGACGGAGCCCCCCCAGACTCCCCAGACTCACCCGCGGCCAGCGGGGCCCGGCGAAGCGGGCGGGAGCAGAGCGGTGCGGGCCGATGCAGGACTCGAACCCGGGCACCGCCCCCGCCCGGCCCGGCCCCACTCTATAAAGGATCGGGAGGGGGCGGAGCCAGCGGGCGTGTCCGCCAATCACCGTGCGCGCCTCTGCCTGCCGGGGCGGGCACGGCGGCGCCCCCTAGCGGGGAGGCTCGAGCTGCCCCTGCCCGCCCCCCTCACTCCCCACAGCAGCGGCGGAGCCGAGTCTGGGAAGCGCCTTTATTGACCGACCAGCACCGGCCACATCAAGCCCAGTCCCGCGTTCCGGGGATCTCCCGGCTCAGCAGCCGCACCAGCCTGGCCCGAAGGCTGTGAGGCTTGTGCCCGGAGCGCCCTGACAGCGCCTCCTGCCCTCCACGCCCCCAGCCCGTGGCCCGGGGGTTCTGTGCTATGGCGGCCTGGTTGTCATAGAGGGGGCCCCCCTCACTGCTGTGGCCCTCGGGGGCCTGTCGGCACCCCAGCTCCCACTGCCCTTCCTCCTCTTCCTGGGCCCCGGCTGGATGGGGTTCTGCAGTGAAGATGTTCTCGTACAGATGCTCAGGAAGCAGCTTCCCCACGGCCCAGGGCTCACCAGAGCCTGGCTGCCCTGGCACAAAGAGCGGCTGCTGGCCCCGGGCAATGGAGGCATAGATGATGGGGCATGAGCCCTCTGGCTCTGGTGGGGTGAAGTGGAGGTGGTTGGCAGGGGGGTGGGATGTAGGCTGTGTCCCCCCCAGGGCTGAGCTGGGCTGGGGATCATTCTGCCCAGGCTCCCAGGGCTGGGGCTCAAGACCCTGTGCAAAGAGCTGGGGGTCAGAGACACAGAAGAGTCGGGGGTCCGGGGTGTCCTTGCCCTGCTGCTGGCAGGCGATGGCAGCAGCCACAGCCCGGCAGAGCTCAGGGGCCCGTGGGGTGCTGAAGGTGAAGGTGCCCTCGCCAGAGTCACTGCGGCGGCCGGCCTCGAAGGAGAAGACAGCCTGCAGGGTCAGAGGGGAGGGTGAGGGGCTGCTACCCACCCTGGGCAGGCAACAGCCCCAAAAGAAGGGAGTGGAGGGCTTACCTGATCCTGGCCAAACTTGCGAAGGAAGGGGTAGGGCCAGGTGAGCAGGGGCTGGCGGGACTGAGGGTCCTTCAGCGTCAGGCTCTGGGGAAGGGCTGAGAGCAGGTAGTGCCCGTGCAGCCCACAGCGGGTGGCTGCATCTGTCTGGACCACCAGCACCAAGAATTCAGTCACTGCAGGAGCCAAACAAGCCAGGGTCAGCACTGCAGCACTGAGCTGCAGCCCACCCCACCCCTATTCACCACCCCTGCACATACAGTCCTGCCAGGACGAGTAGAGGGAGTTCTCCTCCATGGGGACAGTGGAGCCGGGCTGGGTCCTGGCACTACTTGGCACTGTCTCTTTTGCACCCTGAAACAAAGGGATGTGAGTATGACCTGGGATTTTTTGGCGGGGACAGGAATCTCTTGCCTGCTCCAGAGCTTCCCAGCTCACCCAAGTAGGGCTCTTGGCCCTGCCAGACCCCTTGGTACCTGGAAGGCCAGCTGGCAGAGCTGGGTGATCCATTCATCGCGCTGCTCAGCTGCCAGCACATAGTTCTTCTCCGTGGTGGTGAGGTAGAAGGCAGCAGTGGCTTTAGGGCAGCTCTCTATGCCCACCGGACCCACAGAGACACAATCAGAAAGGCGGATCACCCGGCGGGCACACCGTTGCAGGGACATCTTCTCTGGGATCATGCCATCATCCCGCACATCAAACTTCTCCATGCGGGCCACGCCAGACGGGCTGGCGGCGAACAGCTGGGCTCGCATCTTCCTCCAGGACCTCTAATGCATGGAAAGGGAAAAGGCAGGGAAAAAAAACAGGTCAGGGAAGAGCTGGCCACTGCATCTGGCAGCACTGCCCTCCACACAGGGCCAGCAGTGCTCAGGAAGAACCACACAGGGCACGAGGGGCATAGGGGAGTTCCGGCCTGCAAGTGCCAGATGCTGTTGGAGGGCACAGAGAGCAGGGGCCAACACAGACCCATGAACTGTGGGGCAGGGCAGGCCCAAAGCTGGGCTGAGGGGGGCCTTGTCCCGAGCAGGCTTGGCATGCCTTACTGGGTGAGTCACACTCACTCCCAGCTCCCTGAGCACCAGGTCCTGCTCTTTGTTCCCTTCTGCAAGTGCTGACCTGCCAACCTGCAGCTGAGCTCTCAAGCTGTTCTCAGGACAGACCCTGATGCAAATTAAAACCATTTTGAGCTGCTGAGGCTCCTGCTGGCAGCCTCACATCTGCTGAGCAGCCCGCTTCCTCCCAGGGGAGCCTCTACAGCACCAGCACCTTCCCAGTCTGTCATGGGATAGCGGGGGCGCGTGCCACCATGTACCTCAAAAGTGCAGCAGAGCCTCCACCTGCAGGAACCAGATGCAGCCAAGCACCCAAAATACCCACCGCCCCCAGCCCACCTGCCTCCATGGCAGGGCACCAGGTCCTCACACACAGGGCTGCTTGCTGCACCTTCAGGGCTTGGCTCTTGTCTGGCTGGGAAGTCTGAGTGTGATTGAAGTCCACTGAGACCTCCACAGGACATGGCCGCCCTGTCATGGCATGACCAGTGTGCCAGCAGGACCTACTTTGCCAACACCCAACAGCTCCCTGGAGCTGGCCCGACTCCAGGTATTCTCACCCATACCCTGCCCCGAGGGCTGCAGCACTTAGTGCCCCTCCAAGCGCACAGAGGATCAGCCCAGGCCATCAGGGTATCACCGGATGGTGCTGGCTCCTGAGGGCCAGGCCGATGGAAGGCACAGGGACACGTCCCACATGCTGCCCCAGGGCCCCACTCACACACACACACACGCTAGAGCTGCGCCACATTAACGCAAGTTTATTTTTCCATTGCGAATCACGTGGTGATCAAACAAGAAGGACCCAACACATGGGCGAGCCAGAGTGGGTGCCCACACAGATGAGTACCCTCAGCCACAAGGGAAAGCCCCACTTAGGGGGCTGCTGAGCCCAGGGCTCCCCCAAAGGCAGCTCCAATGGGTCTGGCTCCAGTTGCCCCTTCCCAGGCTGCTGAGGGCCCAGAGCTAGGCCCGGCATCATGACAAATCAGGGCAAACCCTCTACCAACCCCAAATCCACCCTTTACCTTTCCAAATTTGGTGTGCTGCACATAGAGGATCCCATCCTTCACTGGTCTCTCCATGGGCCCAGTTCACTCTGGCAGCTAGCACAAGGATCAGGGACTCGTGCTACCCGCAGCAGAGAAAATGTGACTACTGCAGTAGAAGGAAAGGCATGGGGCAGACTTCCTTTTCAGAGAGACTTCCCCTTTTTGGGGTGTGGGGATGGGGGACAGAGGCTGGGCCATAGGAGGTGTCCATGTGCCCGCCCTCCCCCTCACAGCAGGGCAGTGGGGCAGAACGCGGGGGAAGAGCACAGGAAGCATCTCGGGGAGCGCCTGACATGAGCACACCATGCTCCACCTCACCCTGGCTGCATCCTCCCAGCATGTCTGGGGAGATAGGAACAGCCACCACTGAGAATGCACAAATCCAGGTGAGGGAGATGGACCCAGAGAATCTGGGTGGATTTGTGAGGAGCAACAGAAGACCCTGACCTCACCACTGGAGGGGGCTGGCAGGGGCAGCAGGCAGCTGGCTAGATCAGTCATCCCACCTGGGGCTTTCTCTTGCCCCGAGGCACTGCTACCTGCTTGCCCAACACACCGCTGATGTAATGGGCTGCTGCAGCACAGCTCCATACATTTCCTTCCGGGGCAGGAGCTTTGTCAGGCTGAGCTGGCAACAGTCCCAGTCCAGTGACCAAAATTCTGGAAAAGGGGCCACAGAAGTGCAAGACAGGCCCCTGGGTTGAAAGGGAACTCAGGCCCATCCAGGGACAGCACACTCTCCAGGCTAGAAGTCCATAGAGCTGTGGGCCAGGTAGTCCTTGCGGCCAATGTTGCTGACTTGCTTGGTCTGCATCGCCTCCAGCTTGGGGCAGTCTGTGATGCGATGGCCCAGGCCACCACAGAAGGCACAGCCTCGCTCACCTGCAATGGGAGGAACGAGGTCAAGGCCAGGACAACACAGTGCCACGCCAGGACAGCAGCCCCCACCCCAGAGCAAAGAGGCTGCACCAGTGTCTCCCCAATGCTGTGGCACTGGGAGCTGGAGGGTCCCGTCTGGAGCCCAGATTTCACAGCAGCCCAGCACGAGGTCCCTGTGTCAACCTGGGGTCTCTCACCTCCAATATCCAGCATTGTCTCATCTCCACAGTGCAGCACCTGGAGCACAGGTGGCACTTTCTGCTTCGCCTCCAGGAGCAGAGCCTTCAGGTCCATCAGCACCGATTCGTCTGAGGGCAGAGACATAGGTCAGGCAAAGCCATCCTGCTTGCTCAGAACACCCCCTTGCCACTGCCCAGCTGCCTCTTGCAGCCCCCAGCCCCGTGCTGTTCCTCACCACAGGCCTTGTTGATGAAGGTGGTGGCAATGCCAGTGTTGCCTGAACGGCCCGTACGCCCAATGCGGTGAACTGCAGAGACAAGGACAGGATCAGCCCCAGGTAGCACAGTGTGACAGACCATCCCTGCCCCAAGACACTGCAGAGACAGGCACAGAGCCTTGCTGGCCTCTAGACCCCTCCCACAAGGCCCAGTGCCTACCATAGTTCTCAATCTCCTCTGGCATGTCGTAGTTGATGACATGCTGGATGGCTGGGAAGTCCAGGCCCTTGGAAGCGACGTCAGTGGCAACCAGGACATCCTTCTTCCCATCCCGGAAGGCCTCTATGGCTTTGGTCCGTTCTTCCTGATCTGCAAAGGCCCAGCAGAGATTAGCGAGGGCAGAGCTCCCAGCCCTACCTACTGCAGCAAACGCTATGGCCTCAGAGTCAAGCATTGCTTCCTCAGGTGGCCTTTCTCCCAAAGAGGGTGCAGAGGGGCCTCTACATTCCATAGGGACCTGCACTGTGTTTATGCATGCTATGTACAATGTGGAGCTCACTCCTGACACTCCCACAGCTCTTCCTCACACCATCTACAACTGCTTCAGGCTGGCACCTCCCATGGCCACACACATTCCTGGGAGAAGTGGGGTCATACCAGGAGTCCAGGCCTCTCTAGGACCTCACTGACCTTTCCCTCCATGGATGGCCACAGCTTCCACACCCTTGAGCAGGAGGTACTCATGGATTGCATCGACATCTGCCTTCTTCTCTGCGAAGATCAGCACCTGCGGCAGCACAGGTATCATATCAGAGCCCTGTCTGCAGGCTGGCACCAGCACAGCCCCCTGGGGAAGCCCATTCCCTCTTGCTGAGCAGAGCACACAGCACTGCTGGTCCCAGGACCTGCTCATATGTGGAGTATGAGCTCCACACAGGGGGTCCCCCTGCCAACTCCCTGCATGCCCCAGCGTGACCACATTGTTCCCAGCATACTCACAGGTGGAGGGGTCTTCTGCAGGCACTCCAACAGGTACACCATCTTGGCCTCCTCTTTCACATATTCTACCTCCTAGGAACAAGCAGAGACATGGGTCAGGCAGCAGAGAAACTGCCACTGCTTGGTATCCCTTGGCCAACTGGGAAGGAGGGCCACGACCTCCAGCTCCCTGGCAGAAGGAATTAAGTGTCCTCAAGAATGTTTCTGGCCTCCCACACAGGCACAGGGAGCACCCAAACACCTCACCTGCACAACATCCAGGCTGGCAGCACCCGCTCGCCCAACGTTAATGGTGATGGGCTTCACCAGGGCACTCTTGGCAAAGTTCTGAATCTTCTTGGGCATTGTGGCACTGAAGAGGAGGGTTTGCCGCTGGCCCTGCACAGGGAAGAAGCCTCTAGCACTCACCCAACCTGACAGATGCAGGATTGAGCTTCAGGATGCTCCTATCATGGCAATTCAGTACCTTGAAGTAGGAGAAGATGGTACGGATGTCGCCCTCAAAGCCCATATCGATCATCCTGTCAGCCTCATCCAAGGCCAGGTACCGGCAGATGTCCAGGCTCACCATCTTCTTCTGGAGCAGGTCCATCAGGCGCCCAGGCGTTGCCACCATCATGTGTACCCCACTGTGGGGTGAGAGGAGGCTGCAGTCAGGCCCTCAGCATTCCTGCCCCATTCAGGACACCTCCCTGGCACACCACTTTCACCCCTACGCTGCCCTGAAGTCAGGGTGCCACTCCCTAGCCTCCTATCAGAAAACAGAGCATGGACTCCCCCAGAAAATCTTACTGTTTGATGGTCTCCATCTGCTCCTTGACAGACATGCCCCCAATGCAGAGGGCGCAGCGCAGTGGGGGCAGCCCATCCTCCTGCAGCAGACGACAGTAGTACTCCAGGATGCCATGGGTCTGCCGGGCCAGCTCCCGCTATGGAGACAAAACCAGCTCATTCTCACACCTCTGTGCAGGCAGAATTTAGGATTGCCACTGCAAGTCAATCACAGCCTCCTCCTGCCACTCACCGAGGGACAGATGATGAGTCCATAGGGTCCTTCTCGCTTAGAGAATGGCAGCCTCTTCTCCTGCTCCAGGCAGAACATGATCACTGGGAGAGTGAACACTAAGGTCTTCCCAGAGCCAGTGAATGCAATGCCAATCATATCCCTTCCTGAGAGGCTGCCAGAGAAATTGAGCAGATGGAGAGGAGGAACATCATGGAACAGCTCAAACCTCCAGGGCTGAGCAAGGTGACAAGGGTGCATCTACCACCAGGGAAGAGCACTCAGTCCACACCCCTGAATGGGCTGTGGGAGCAACTGCTCTGTACTCTGGAATGGGGACAGAGCACTCACATTGTGGGGATGCCTTGGATCTGTATGGGTGTTGGCTGCTGGATTCCTTTTTTCTTCAGGCCTCTCAGGATAGCTGTCAGAGAACAAGGGACAAAGTATGTTCATGACCTGAACTATTTCCTCTCTTTTTCCACCCAGGTCCCAGCAGCAGCTCTTCCACCAGTGACAAACACCCCTCAGGCCAACAGCCAGAAAAAAGGTGGGATCCCTTTCCAGGCTCCTCTCCTGGCCTACCTGCTGGGAACTTCATCTCCTTGAAGCTCTTGATGGGGGGTGGGATGCCCTCCCCCTCCACCAGGATGTGGTACTTCTTGCGTACACGGTCGTGCCGTGCCTCTGACATGCCCAGGATGTAGCGAGGGGCTCTCCAGCTGTGAAAGCAACAGAAATAGGTCATGGTGCAGAATGAGATGAGGGCTCCTGAACCAGCAGCTCCCATGGAGGAATTCAGGGGAACTCTCTGTTAGGCTCCATTATCCCATCACATAAAAAAGATAACCCCAAGGGGCTCTATGGAGTGAGTGTAGGAGCAGATCTGAGCCAGTTCCATCCATTAAACCCTTCCTCAAAATCTGAGTGAAAAGTGTTAAGCTAATAGCTGAGAACAGCCTATGGATGGTGGATGGAACATGACAAAAATGTCTGGACACACTTCAATCATCTCCCTGCCACTGCCTCAGAATCACTGAAGTTGGAAAATACCTCTGAGATCATTGACTCCAATCTTTGATCAACCACCACAATGCTGCCTCAAGAAGCACTGACTCCAAAGGCTCCTCTAGACTCTTTCTCTAGCTTAGTGACCTCCCAGACCTGAAGACAACCCTTAGGGCTTCTAGTTTAACATAAATGTCCTTTATCAAACTTTACTGTACACAAAACGACATCCAGTGTGACTCAACAGCATTTGATTTTACAGATAATGACAAAAAGCCAGTCACTCAGGCAAGAGGCTGCAGAGGCACACTGTTCCTGCAAGACTCTGTGGCTTTTAGTTCTCTTCAGCCATGATAAAGTGATGTTTTCAGAAGGACAGCTTCTGAGCTGTGCTGTGAACCTTACCTGGTTTTGATTGGGTCATCATAGGTGATGCCCTTGGCCATCTCCTTTACTGACATCAGAGCTGCAGGAACAAAGATCATCAGTCAGACCAAACTCTCCACATCCACATCAACCTCACTGAGAGCTACTTGGGCAAACAGTTTGGGAGACCATGTCTGGAGACAGAAGAGGAGAAGCAGTATAGGAACACCAAGTGCTGCTGTGCCCAGAGCCCTGTCACAGCCACGTCTCTGCTAAGCCAGGCAGTGCCAGCTGAGGGGATGCATTGTCACCTCCAGTCCCACCCCTGAGTATGAGCATTCCCAAGGAAGGGAACAGCTCTCCTGCTGCCCTAGGAGCTCTGGAGACAGATCTGAG